CTTGTTTTCAGGAGTTTATTATAAACACAGCTCTAGAGTGAGGGTCATTTGAGCTCTTCCCTGGTTTGTTGACACTGGCATTGTTTCTGCTGCGTTACTGATCCGAAGGGTTCACACCAGGTAATAAGATAAAGCAAAAGTATCTGGCCAGATTCTGATTCATCTGCCTGCCAAGCTGCTACACAAACTGGGGGGCACATGAAGTGGATGCAGTGGATGTGGATAAACTGAATTAATCTGACACCTGATACTGCACTGACCATCTCTCTTATAGAGTGGTTCTGTTTTTCTCTCCCCACTCATCAACCCTCCATGGCTACTGGAAGGGAATATCTAGATTTGGAGTGTCCTGCTTAACAGCACTGCAAATGAACCCTCTTCCATCACCCCATAGTAATGCCCCTGTCTGGCCACTGATGCAGCCAGAGGTGTGGGCAGTAGCAGCAGATGTCCTCGCCTCAGTCCCTCATTTCTCACAGCTGGGATGAAAAGCAGGGCTAGACCTTGCTTCCATTGAATTCACCATCACTGCTTTTCCATGACCCAAAGGCAGACTGCTGTTTGGACAGCATGGGTGAGTGTTTGGAGTCTGCTAGCACAGATCTGGGTGGCATCAATTGCCCTGCTGGCACTATGCTGGCAACCTGAGCAGCCCTGGAAGAGCCATGAGGAGCAGCCAGTACCCAGCCCTGCCAAGGCCTTTGTTGCCTGTGCTCTTATTGCTTGCCATTGGAAATTTGCCTCATGGGGACCCTGTGGGAGATTTTTGGCCTGGGAGTTGGCAGAGTTTTTGCTTTACAAATGGACCATGCTATTGGGCCATGCCACCATCCATCTGTGCATACAACGTGCTGCCTGTGGGTGAGGATGGAGATTTTTCAGTGCTGGAAAGCAGAGATACCAGAGCAGCTTCCTTTCCCCCCTTGCTTTGATTTTGTGGCACAGGAATTAGTTTTGTTTTCCCACTCCCACAACTGTGAACATAAGTTTCAACAGTGTAAAAAGAAGGGAGCTTTTTCCCTCTTCTTTTTTTTCCCCATCCAGTTTAGAGATTATTTTTTCTTTTCCAGTTCACAGCAGAGGAATTTGGCCAAATTTCCTTGTAAATAAAATGCTGGATTGAAAGTATGCTTGTGTCTCTACTCACAAGTAGCACATGAGCAGCAGGATCACAGGGCTGATGTAATATGGAATCCCATTTCTAAACAGAAGAGTATCATCCAGCAGAGTTATTGAAGCCCTGTGATTGAAGATAAAATCAAACCATTAAGGAGGAATCAAGAAAGTTAACACAGATCAAGAATACAAAAGCAATACTGAAGGTAATGAATTGCTTGTAAAAAGTCAGAATCTGGAAAACTGCTCACTGTTTAAACTTCACTGTGTCTTTTAATCACTTGTTCAAGTAACACATTAACGAACTGAAACTGCCCTTTTTTGACGGCCATGTGAATTAGATCACATTTAGACGGCAGCTGTGCTAATTCATCCATGCCAGCAGCCTGTCTGCTGAGATGATAGCAAGCTTCCTTCAAAACTCCTACAGCTGTACTGGTTTTGCATAGGAACTTCTGTTGAAACCCCTGAAAAAGGAGAAAAAAACCTACCAGAGTACTAGAGCCTTAAAAAACTGACAGAAATCTCCATCGGATAACTTCAAACACATAGTAATGATTCATTGTGCTGTTTTCCACACTAAATATGTGAAGCATCTGGATATTACACTAACATAACAGAGCCTTCCAGTGTATCAGGAAGCTTTCTGAAGGCATAAGACTCTGTTTTGGTTTTAATTCTTCTGTCTCAAAAACAGTGTCCATTTTATATTTGTTTAACCTTATTTTTTGAAATAAAAATGCTTATTTACTAGAGGACCAGAAAAAAAAAAAAAGTTTGAGATGTCTTGGTTTCCTTTTGGCAAACTTCTGGAAGGACTAAGTAAATTATTCAAAATAATAAATGAAAAATTTTACTTGAAAAATACTTTGGTTTTAAAAAGCCTACTGTCCATTGTCTGTAGGACTGACCTCTGCTAGTGCTGTTGTAAACTTTGCAGATCTGAAATCCCTTCTAAAAATTTACCTTTTGACATAAATTGAACAAAATACCCAAATCAAACACTGGACGCCAAAATACAATGATTTCAGTAACCTGATAGAGTTGTGTCAGTGGCCTCCAGAACTGGGTGGGATTCTGTAGATTACTGTAAGGCTTCTTGGTCTGTGCATGGTGCCAAAATCAAAGTGATCAATAAAATGGAATGCCTGTAAGACTTTGTAACATTTGTAATAATTCAAGCATTTCCCAATCAGATGTAGATGGAAAGTACACTGACAATATTTGCCACATTTTACTGAAACCCAAACCAGCCCTGTAAGTAATTCTAGCTTGGAGACTGGGAGCAAAATAAGGACAAGGGTCAGAGATTGGCATAGACCAAATACCCCATATTTTCAGCATCCTAACACTGTATATTTGGGAGAGATGGTCAATAACTGAATTCTCAGTTATCTGTGGATGGTCCTCCTTTTTTCCCCACTGAACTTATGGCCCACATAGTCTTCTGAGTTGCAGCTGAATTGGTTATTTAGAAAGAATGGATGAAGAGCTCACTTGGAGGGCAGATCAACACTGTGCTGCCACAAGTAGTAGGCAGGGACTATTACTCTGTCTGGGTGTGCCATGACAGGCACTTTGTGCTTGTTCTGCAGTCATTCATGGCACCTCTGCCTCAGACAGGAGATCTGGATGACAAAGAGGCACTTGGACCTCCAGCCCACCTTCTCCTTGGTTCCATGATGGACACATTTCACTGATCAAGAAAAATAGTTTTGTCATACGACTCTTCCCACTTCCACAAAAGATGCCAGGTCAGCCACCTTTTAATGCCGTCCAGCATGCAAAAATGTAAACAACAAAAGGGAAAGCACAGCAGTTTCAGTCTGGAGGATTTCCAGGGTCTGCAACCTGCTTTGAAGCAGGGTTGGCTGTCCTGGATATTGTCCCAAGGCAATAGCACAAGAGAAAGCAAGTGTTAGTGAGAGTAGAACCACCCCAGCCACAGGAAACCTCAGCCTGCTTTATGACAAGAGGTGTGAACAGTTATCAGGCTTCCCACTGCTCTTTTGCCATGTATTTGCCCAACTTTATGGAGGAGAACTCTCATAGGAATCTGGGTGTCAGTGAATACAGGGCCATGTAGCCCTAAATGGGTCCCCATGTGATCCTGCCTGTCACGGGGTTGCCTGAGGAAGTGAAACATGTATAATCACCAGAGGGGTATTCTACACACTCAGTCATAAATAATTAAGACTAAGCTGCCTTCTTCAGCCGCTGAAAGAAGATAATGTCATTTGGCTCAGGTCTGGGGAGTTTTCATTTCCCTTTGGAGTGGCTTCAAAAAGCTTTATAAATACACTGCAATGAAGCAATCACCTGAGGACAACTCCAGCAAACAAACCGATATCTACCTGAATCTCCCAGGCAGGCACTGTAATTAGGACAAGAATCCATATGACAAGAAATTATATAGTAACAAATAGTAATTGCTTGCTGGGAAGGATAAGGCTTGGGAGACAAAGGGAGGGGATGAATGAGTCAAATCCTTTAACTGCTCAGAGAGAGCAGTGGGAGGAAAAGAGCAGAAGCAGAAACACATTTAGGATTCAGTTCTCCGGGGAGGCTGTTAACGGGTTTGTTAGCAGAAATGCACTCCCACTCGGCACGCTGCTGAAATCACACAAATCCTGGTGCACCTGCATTTTCCACTGCACAACTGTTACTTGTGGTCACAACCTCATGACACGCTATTCCTAATTCTAAGACTGTCAGAAAAGACATTTCTGAACGTATGTTGGCATTATTTCTGAGCATGCATCTGTTGCACACTCTTCTGATGCTGAAACTCCTTTTACATAACACAGATATTTATGAATGTTTTTCCAGAGCATGACTGGGAAATGTAACATTTTCAGATATACACATTTCCCCATGCTGCAGCCAGCTATGAAATTCTAGCAATTCCAGGATATTACCATTACAATTTATAATGGAATATGTGTGTAGATAGCTGTTTTCCTTTCCCTTCTTTTCCATTCTTATATGCATATGCTCAGCTTTCAACAAACATATTTATCTTTTTTTTTTTTATTTTTCCAACCTTCTCTTCCCAGACAAGCCTAAGTTATGGTTTGCATGACTTTATATGCACTCAAGGCTTTAAAACATTCACCACACCTTCAGGTGCTTGTAAACCTTACGGTGAAAGGCAACACTAAATATTTTATTGAAGACAGCATATTTGATTTTTGCCAAAGTGCACAATTTTACTCTTGCACAAGAGTTTATCCTTACTAACAAATAAAAGACAGATGTGCCACATGAACCTATGGCTTTATGAAAAGTCCACTAGTGTCACTCTGAAGAGCAAAGGAGAGGGGAAGAAATGTTGATGTTTATGTGAATGCCTGAGAGGAAGAAAAGAAGTCTTATTTGTCTGCAGAGCTGGCAAATCCTTGATAATTTCTGCCTATTTTCTCCTGCTTATGCTTTTTGTTTCTCTTGACCCTTTTTATTTTTTATGTTTCTCTCTGCTTCATGTTTCAAGTCTTATTTTAGCTGGGTGCTATGTGTGAAGGAGAGGCAGGCTAGTAACAGACCATGTATTTGTCAATCACAAAGTCTTTCACTGAACTAAGCAACTGAAATATTAGAAGCAAATTAATGATAACATTAACTGTTAGATGTCAAAGCTAGGGCCATAATTATTATTCTGTTTACTGAAAACCTAAAAAGTAGGAATGGACAGAGCGATTTGACCTACATTTAATGCAAGGGATCAAGCAGCCCTAAAATTGGTGATTTTAGCTACACTGCAGCCCCTCCCTGACCCAGCATTCCTATTTAGAATTTAGGTAATGCTTAAAATATTTCCCAGAGGTAGGAGTTTTCATGAACTCATATGCTTTCAGGAGTTAAGGACACACTGCCACCATGGGAATTTTTCCTTACTGTGTCAGTGGATGAAATTCAGCCTCGAGCTGCACCCATCAGATACACTCCCTCTTATTCATTACTGTTTCCTCCTACTTGCTCCACACATTGCCATACATTTGGTCTGTTAGGAGTTCCTCCTTGACACTTCCACCTCTACTTCCCCATAATCTGTGGTAAGTACAAATTTTCCTAGTCTGAATATTCTCTGTATCTCATGTTGTCTTTGGTCTCTGCTAGCACAGCTCCATTCTAAGGGTTCGTTTTCTCACCGTGAGGCTGAGACTCATTCTTTACTGTACAAATTGCAAATACTTGAAGCATGAGGATGAAAATAACTTCTGTGTATTTTGAGGCTAATTGCTGATTGCTGCACAGTCTTTAAATATCGCAATGGCAGTGGAGAGTACCCCAAAAAAAAAAAAATATACAGTCTGAAACCTGTGCAATATTTACTCTTGAGGAAAGATCCCAGGTATTAACCAATTAAGGAAATTACTTACCTTTCTGTCTTTCCAATTTCATTATTTCTAATTTAAACTTATTTAACACTGAGTTGTCCTTTCTGCATGATACTGCAATGCAAAAGGAGAAAAAAAAGAAAGAAGAGATGGGTCTAAACTGAGTTTTCAGGCTTCTTCACTCTTTACCTCTTTGGAAGTTTTGTTTTGGTATGGGGATGAACTGCCTCCTGGAACATCTGCTTGTTAGCATCTACTAAACATTTCAGAGCAGTCACTCCCTATGCAGGGAGATCCAGGCAGCCTCATTACGTCTGGGCAAAGCAGGTGAGGTCTTAGCAGAGCAATGCTCCAAATCAGACTCTTCCTGCAGCTTTTGTCACAGGACAGCAATAATTATCATTATTCAAACAAAACAAAATCTGTTTTTACACTTACAAGGTATTACTTTAAGTCAGACACTTCATCAGCAACCAGGGAAATAATTCTTTTATTCTTTTCTCAAAATCCAAACCCCCTTATACCATATGCTGAACCTGGCTAATTTGTTTTCTTTTGTCCTCACAGCCTTGGTCCCACAAGGAAAAAATCTTCTATAGTCTTATCAAGGAGGGTATTCTTGTGAAAATCAAGCTTGTGTGCTGAAAGAAAGAATTAGGAGATGTTTTTCAAATATTCATTAATGAGTACTGTAGCCTGAAAGCCAGGGGAGAAAGAGTTTAAAGGGTATTGTCATCTGATGGCCTAAAAGTAAATTGTAATGCAGAAATCATTTTCTGTGAGGTTATTTCAAGTTTTCTGTTAGAAAATTTGTTTTAATTTTATTTACAGAAAATGAGCCTGACAGAGTTCTGGATCCTTTGTTACAAGAAGACCCAAACTTACTGAAAATGCTCTCCAAACCAAACCTTTTCTCTCCTTGTTCAGAAAACACTACTTGTTCCTAGCTTCTAATTTTTTTGGTTCTGTTTTAATAGCTGGGAGATCACGGCAGAGATCACAGACTTGGATTTCAACCCTTGGATGAGTCTGGGGAAGAGAGGAGAAAAAAGACAGTGAACAGAGAGGGGCCTGGCAGTTTGGGTGGTATTATAAAAAAAAAAAAAAAGTATTCAGGCAGAGTGTAGTGAGAATAGTGGTTTGAAAATACAGCCCTGAAGGAAGAATCTCCAGAGAAACAATGAGAAAGGAATAAATAAAAAGAAAGTTATAAATTCATCTATTTGCTCTTCCCTGACCCTTGCTTTTACTCCTCTTCACAGCAACTACCCTGGGAAAGGCACAATGCTTTCTCCTGTCACAATATTGAGAAAAATTGAAATGGGGAAGAAAGACCACCAGATGCTTTATTGTCTTAGGCGTTTCCACATAATTAGCTGGGAATAAAGGTCCTCTGCATGGTTTCATTGCATTGAATGAACTTGGATATTGCTACACAGTAGTGTGTTTTATGATTCATGCTCTGTTATCCAGCAGCTTTTTGAAAACTGCCAGCTACTTTATCACTGACGGCCAAGCCTGGGCCTACAACTTAAAATGCAGCAATGCAAAGTTAACTGTGCATGACAGATGTCCATGAAATTGTTTAACACACGCACGCATGCACACACCACACGCGCGCTCGCACACACACACACTCTCACAAAGCCGCCGCTCGCCTTCCTGCTTTCTTCACTGCCTCTCTCACAGAGGGCTCAAGCTCAGATTTAAATTTAACTAAAACCAGGGCACTTCTGGAGAAGAGCTTGCGAGGGCACGCTGAGGACCGTGGGCTGCTGCCGGAATTACAGGCCATGACACTTTCCAGAGAGGTTGTGAGAACCCCAGAGGCAGCTTGTTAGAGTGCACTGAGTGGGACAGGTTCTCTCCTCTTCCTCTCCCCTTCCTCCTCTCTCCCTCTCCTCTCCCACACACAAGCTTCCCATCTGCAGAGAGCTGTCCTGCTTGCACCTCTCTGCAGATGGGAAGCTTGTGTGTGAGGATGCCAAGATATGGAAGTTCTCAGCACTGCCAGGGTTTTACCTCAGAAGCAGCAGCTCCAGAGGAGACAATCAGAGAGCATAACCTTCCTGCCTTTATAGCTGCTACCTAATTGCCCACTAGCTTCCCTGACAGAGACCACAGGGTCTACAAAACCTTTGTACGAGGTGCTTCTTCTTTGAAGAGAACTTGGGGTACCCTCATCGGATTCACTGCGCAGTTGGATGGTATAAATTGGGCCAAAAGAAGCAGACTGAGTTCTGGGCACACAGAGGGGAGCTCACACTCACGCTGGCTCTGTGCAGAGAGCTCCCTGGTGCCTAGCATCCACTCCTGGGAAGCATGGGCCTGTCCCTGCTCCCCAGCCCACTTGTCAAGCACCGTGGCATAAAGAGAAGGAGGGGGGGAGCATATCCCTCTCCTTTCTCTGCCTTCCATGAACAGCTCTATTGATTGCCATTGGGTTATTAGCATGGGAAGGTGGTACCCAGTGTGAATGCAAGTGACAGCAGTAACCTAAAATAAAGGAAATGGGGAATCAGTTCCCCTTTAGAAGGAGAGCTGAGAAGTCACCTGACCCTGCTTGGACTCACTTTGTATTCTGGAAGGGATGAGCCCTTTCCCCAAGGTTTACTGGGTGCTTTGACAGGCAGGAGATAAACATGAAAAACCTTCCCAGTGCTCAGCAAATGGAGGCTGGGGATACACAGGAGAGCATCAGATGAGTTTGTCACATCACAAAAAACACTCACAACAAATGAACATGCAAAAAGATAAATCAAAACCAAGAACAAAGCAGAGAGGTTTTCACTCTCCATTTGCTTATATCTAAACAAACACATAATTCACTTTTGTTTAAATTCAAGGTATTTTGCAAGGAAAGAAATAATTCTGCCATGGGGAGTACTGGGCCAAATTCTCTGCCATTCTTCAAGCATGCTTTTGATTTCACAGAGATGGCTCGTCTTTTTCTGCTTAGCAATTTGGGCTTGTGCCCCTGTCTAGTGGACATTAAAAGCATTATAAGACTCAGTCTTCAGAAAACTACATCCAAGTCCAGACCAGAGAGAATGGTCACAATTTTCAGCAGACCTTGGTGTAACTTCTAGAAGGGCTTTCGGAATGGGAAGCAAGAGGACGGAGTGACAGGTGTCACCGATGCAATTTTCCCATAAGATTTCTTTTCAAAGGGTAATTTTTCCCCTCTGACACCCACTAACAACTAAGACTAATTTTCATTTGCCTGAGTAACCAGTTCTGTGATTCCTGCTCAGATCTTATTAAAGCTCATCTGATATAAGGCAGCCAAGATCCTCCAGAAATATCAAAAAATTATCTGCTTTTGATCTTTACTAAGGGGGAAAAAACCAGCCACAGCTCCCACCTCCTCGTCAAAGTTTCCACTCCTTTGGCAGAGCATAAAGCAGCTCAGCAGGATGGCAATTCTACAGGGTGGGATGCTGTGTATATGCCTGCATGTCTGCATGCCTGCCTGCATGTGTGTGTGTGTGTGCCTGAGTGCGTGGGGCCCGTGGGTGGCCTGCTCAACATTTTGGTGGATGTTTCATTCCCACCCCTTTTACTACGACCCTGGTCAGGCCACTTTTATGCCAGTGACAGCTTCATGAAGCACAAAACATGGAGCAATACATGGCATGAAATTGGCAACAAAGCCGAGCAAAAGAAGGAACAATTCTCTGGCAGGATGTGATCACAATATGGCTGATTGGATCTGGAAGCAGATGCCAGCAGCGGGTATTGTCCCAGTGACTGAAAAGACATGACCCCCGAGGTACAGAAGACAACGAGGCCCTCCTTATGAACCACAGGGGGAGGGGAGAAGAGGTGAAACCAATGAATAAATCAGTCGATGGAAACAGGGGAGAAAAGAAAATGCTAAAGAGGACTTTTATGGGGGACAGGGGCAGCTCAATATGCAAGAGCGTTGCCTCCCCAGCTAGCTGAACACTTGCTCAGACAATGGCTTTTTAACAGATGGGAGCCCTGCTGAAAGAGGCCAAGTTTTGTGCAGTTGAGAATCCCTGTTTGTTTAGTCTGCTGCTGCCCAGGTGTCTGCAGAGAGGCAATGCAGCAGGTTAAGTGTCTCAGGGGTGGTTTAGGACAGGCAAGCCTGCGTATCAGCCAGGACTAGTTTTATTGGAAAGGGACAGATATGGTTAGACTTGTTTGTGAAGCCCTCAGGGAGGAGAGGAAAAAAGAGATCTCTTTTCTCCCTTCCTTCTAAAGAAAGACTTTCCCAGTCTGGGCAATCAGGCCCCTGTAATAAACCCTGCCAGTAAGGCAGCTTCATGTCATAGGGCACAAAACATTGCAGAGGAACACACAACGTTGCGACAGAGCACATTATGTTGCCACTTGCAATGTCACAACTCTGAGTTCCTACATACACACTCCTCCTTTTTCTCCTTTCCTACAGTGCATTTGATAACCCATTTGTTTCCACTATCATTTTCTGGATGGGCTTCTTCACCTATTTCAGCAGTTACTGCAGATCATTGAAATTCGACTCACACAGCTCCTGACCTCAGCGATGTGCAATTCTCCCCTGCAGTAACAGAGATGCAGCCATTCTCCTCCGGTAATGATGACACCCAGACAACAGGATTGGTGGGGCTGGTTTTTCTTCAGTCACATAAGTACACAGACAGTAAATGCCACATGCAGGATTGGGAGACCCTGGCATATAAGTGTGGGAGGGGTGTGCTGGACCAGCTCAGTGCAGGTGAATGCCTCAGTTACTCCCAAGATACTCAGCAATGCCTGAGATGACATAATTTTCTTGCATCACCCTGTCCAAAATAGCAAATTTACAACAACATGGATTGTGTAAGGGGCACAGAGAATGAGGAGAAGGGAAGGAAAACACACAGAGCATCATGCCTGAGCAGCAACAGGAACGTCACCTTCCTTCCTGTTGGATCACAACAGTCATGATAATCCTGAATCTCAAACAACAGAAGGGAAGGACATCCAACTTCCATGTTCCTACCTGTGCTATTGACTTGTTAGGCGACTTCTGACAAGGGACTTCACTTCTCTGTGCTCCCATTCCACTCTTGCCCTACACATCCTTTCTCTGCTTAAAATGCAGCAGCTGTCAGGATTGGTAAGAGTATGGATTCTATATGCCCAACAAGACTTCCATCCCAATTCAGATATTTCTAACTATTCTTCCTTTCAAGAGTGTGAGACAGTAACATTTCCTATGCTTTTTGTCCTCATAATGTGCTGTGGAACTTTTCTGTAATCATGATTCCCAGTGAGAAAAAACCCATTGCTCTAATTTTACCTAAATAGCCTTCCAGATGAGAATCAGGGATCATTACTTTTAGGGATACTATGGTTCTGTGACTAAATCAGGCCCTTTCTGCCCTAGGAGCCCCTTACAATCTCTCCTCCAGATCTGTTTTGAAAACAGAGAGGTGAAAGCTTGTTTCCTATATGTACACTAGGGTGCCACAAGGCTACTGAGCCCACCCACAAGAGACATGCAAAAAAAATGTGAAAGAAAGATTCCTTTCCCGCTTCAAAAAAAATAATCTGTCTGGATTCAGTTAAACAGCACAAAATATTAACCTCCACATGCAATTACACATGCAATTGCACCTTTGGCATAAAAAATTTGGGTCTTGAATTATCAACCTAGACACAAAGATTCTTTTAAGTCACTTTACAGCTTGCAAAGCCCCTGATTTTAATATTTTTGATACAAAGTAAAACGTTTTTCTTCAAATTTCCTAAGGACAACACTAATGCTGTTTCTGAATTTGCCTCTTCCCATTTAGTTATCTTGGTGCTATTCATTTTTAAAGGCTTAAAGTAGAGTTTATGCGGCATTAGTATTCATAGGCACATGCTAATTTACTCATGTTCGGATAGGCAAGTTGTTTTTTTCAGATGAAACAGAGGGGATTAGATCTAGATCACTAGCTCTGAAGAAAAGTTGTAGCATGCCACAGTTTTCTATTCTTTTCTAGGTGGCATCAATTACTAAAACTAGATTTCTTGTTCCTAAGACAGAAATAAAAATATCTGCTGCAGTCTTGTAAAGGAAAAAAGTGTATTCTGGTATGAGAAAAGTCACAAAGCCTCCAACCCCTCCCTTTGCCTTCCTCCCTTCTCCACAGGGAGCAGGGATTATCACCGCTGATCCCTAATGCCACTCTGACCACTGGGACAGCAGAGCCAAGGGCTGTGCCCTGGCTGCTCATTGTCAGGGGTGACAGCTGGAGGAAGGCAGAGGTTTGGGTGTGCCCCAGCCCGTCACCACTCAGGAGTCACCTTCGGGAAGGTCAGCGTGTCCCTTGCCTTGGCGTCATGGCCATAGAAATTTTCTTCAATCCACAAATGTGTTTGAAGGAGGAATTACCAACTAAAGCTTTTTCTAAGTGCTCCAAAGCATGCTGTTGG